GGACCTTGTGCTTGCCAGGCAGGCGCCTTTGCTGCTGAGCTATATCCCTGGCCCCAGAGTAAGCTTTAAAGAGCAAATACAGTCCAAGAATTGGGGGAGCGGGGAAATGACATTCAAACTGCCAGACCTTTGGGAGTGTGTTATTAAACGTGGAATTTTATAAAGCCATAAGCTTACAGTCACGCACCATGTAACAATGTGTCAGTCAACAACAGATGACATATGTGACCGTGGCTTCCTAACATTAAAACGGACTGAAAACTTTCTAGCACCTGCTGACACCTCAGCCATTCCATCGCCGTACTGAGGCGATGCTCGCATTTTCATTGACGCTGGTGGGAGCAAAGCCCTTCAGCGGTCAGACGCTGCGTAAAGTGCAGTGTGCCGCTCTGCAAGCTTGTTTGGACACAGACGTTCTCTCACTTAATTGTGCTTTGCAGAATCTGCATTTTTTACAAATTGAAGGTTTGTGGTAACTCTGCCAAACAAGTCTACTGACACCTTTTTTCTAATAGCTCAGACGATTGTTAGTGTCTTTTCACAAAGTGTTTTTTTTCAATTAAGGTGTGTACTTTTTTTCTTAAGACTTGACACACTGCCGCGTAGAGCATATGTAACTTTCACATGCACCAGGAAACCAGAACATCCGTAGGGAAGGACGCTCATCTCCCAATCAGGGCCTTCCAACTTTACAAAGGCTCAGGCCCGACATCTGCGCTTCAGCTCAAAGCTTCAAATCATCCTGAGAATCCTTAAAAGATTCAGTAAGGGTTAAAAGTCTTCAGGAAACAGAGATTTATTTATCCAAGCAGAAATCTTTTATCTTGTTTATATTGAATAAGTACACAAAGCCAGGAAACCTAATACTGAAGTCACAAAAGGCCAAGGGCTCATGTGGACTCCATTAAGTCTCACAGCCTCTTGCTAAGAAATCTGTTTTTCTCATTTCCGTAGCAGCTGTGGCCAGGAGACCACCATTCTGCGCTAGCTTTAGTCTACTGGTCCTAGTAAGTGGGAACTACACACCATATAATGAGAGAGCTGGTCGTCTTTTGGTGTTGCTAGGAAAAGGAGGGAATTTTTCACTGAGAAAAGCTCTCAAATGCCAGGTATGGTGGTGCATGCCTACGATCCAGCATTCAGGAGGCTGAGACAGGAGAATCTCCAAGAGTTCAAGGCCAGCCTGGACTACATAGTGAGGCCCTGTCTCAAAAAATCAAAAAGAAAATCTCTCAAACTAAATGGTCCATCATAGTTAATTTCCTTGCACTATGTGTTCAAGTGGACAAATCACTGTTCCTGCTAACACCGCAGAATCTAAGAAGCTAAATCACAACAGAACACAGCACATTTCTGGATGCTCCTAATTCCAGAGACAGAGAGAGAATCAATGAACGCTGAGGGTCACAAAGCAGGGCCGCACTGACCTAGAGAATTACAACCAGGTGTAGGACACTTCATATTGAAATTGTAGCTTTCATGGAAGCGACGGCGCTTGGGGCGATGGGAGAGGTCACTGCCTGAGTCCTTCAGGGACATGTCCTTGGCGATGCTCTCATCCAGAGATACGTTGGGGCTGGAGATGTCTATGTCCGACTCAGAAGAAGGTGCGTTTCCAGTTGGAGTTCGTGGTGGTGATTCATCATGATCCGCCGTATTTTTTGTTTCTAAAGCAAAAGTAATTAATAGAATTTGTGACTAGGGTTCATTTATTTAGAAGTGTACTGTTCACAAGAGTTTAGGGGCTTTTCCATTCTCCTTCTATGCCTGAATCAGTAACTTTTAGCTACCAATCTATTTTAAGACACTGACACCATCCCTTTTATGTGACTTACATTTCACTTCCGTGTCGCTCCTAAATGTCTAATCATATGCAAAGATAAAATTTTAAAAATTACCGTCCAATTTTCCTCCCAGGAAACAGAAGATAAATGGAGTGACTGTCTCTCTGTACAGCACTAAATAGCATGGTGTGAGAGGAGTGCCTCAGACTCCTCAGTTCGCACACCGATAGCCTAACAATCCAGTCTCAAAATTCTAGGCTCTAAATCAAGGATTGCAAACCAAATGCCTATGGGGCCTGGCAAGCTTAAACAGCCCACTGTTTGTATAAAGGGGACAGCTACCGCTCAGCCCACACTACTACTATGGGTAAACGACCAGTTTAGAAACAAGCAATGAAGACTTTTTTTTGTGTGTGTGTGTGTTTTTGAGACAGGGTCTCACTATGCAGTTCAGGCTGGTCTTAAAGTCACTTTGTAGCCCAGGCTGGCCTCGAACTTGCAACAATCCTCCTGCCTCAGCTTCCTGTGTGCTGCGATTTTTTTTTGAGACATGGTCTCACTATGTAGTTCAGGCTGGCCCTGAACTCACAGCCATCCTCCTGCCTCAGCTTTCCAAGCACTGGGATTACAGGTGTGTGTCACCACAACCAGTCAACTCAAGAGTTTTATATGCAATCCCTGTATTTCCAAATACTGGCAACAAATTTAAAAATGCTGTGCAAGCAATGCACCATATTGGTAGGCCAGAAGCTCAGCACCTTGTAATCTCTAAGGCTTTGGCTGGTGAATCCTAATCTTATTGGTTAACTCAATGAAGATCATTTCTACTTAGAAATCTATAGGTAGAGACTGACCAGCCCGGCCCTAAGAAAAGTGGGTGAAGCCTTCTTTGCGGTTAAGCAGGACCCACTCCCTTTTTCCTGTTACAAGGCCAATCTCACACACCGCAGAGAAACCCCACAGCCAGACCATCCTCAGCAAGACAAAAGCATCAGGCACACAGCGCTCACCCAGCCGACTCTGGTCTGCGTCAGGCATCCCTGTGGCAGTCACGCCCTCCTTACGGGAGCCAGCAGATCCTCTGTAACGTGTGCCACTCACCCCAGCCCCACTCACCTCTATCTGAGAAATCGACCACCTGCTCGGTTTCCGAGCCAGACGAGCGTGTCTGCCGAAGTGGGTACTTCTTCGGAGTCACTGGGTTGGGCTGCTGCTGACTACGGGTCACTCTTCTGGTGGAATATGCAGGCTCCTCGGTGCCAAAGGACTGCAAGTTTCTAACAGGGCTGGAGTCTGATCCCAGTTTTAAAAGATCATAACATAAAAGAGAAGAAAATCTGTTTTACTTTTCATCTATATATGATTTATCAGAATGAAGTTCTCTCCCTCCTATTCAGAGTGCACAAAATCCAACAAATCTTTAGAATATCTATTTTATTAAATAATACATAAGCAATAGGGTTTAGTTCAGGTATATACAATACAGTACAGTGTCAACAGTTTAAGATCTGGAATCTCATTGCCAGGCATGGTGGCACATGCCTGTAATCCCCACATTCAGGAGGCTGAGGCAGGAGGATCGCAGAAGGATTGTTGTGAATTAGAGACCAGCCTGGGCTACAAACTGAGTTCAAGGCCAGCCTGAACTGCATAATGAGACCATGTCTCAAAAAATAAATTAAAAAAAAAAACAAACAAACCCAAAGGAAAGTACTAGCAGCACATCCCTCAAAGCTTGTGGTGAGGAATAAATGACAAAATACATGTAAAGTACTAACATAATCCTTGCTACATAGAGTGCCTTATAAACGTTAGCTGTGTCTTCTCTGCCTTCCCTTAACCTAACCTAAGCATAAAAAAGATATTCTACTCCTAACAGTATAATGACACACAAATATTTCCTTTCTTTAGGGGCCTCTTTTGTGTCTCAAAATAGAAAATCATAACAGACCCTGAAGAAAAGACAAGAATATAGCTTCTTAAATTCTTTTGGACAGCAAAGCCCTTTACACGTCCTACTTAAAGGCAAAGGAACTAAAACCACAATTAAAGTACATTTTAAACCAGGTGTGGTGGCGCACACCTGTAATCCCAGCAGTCGGGAAGCTGAGGCAGGAGGACTATTTCGAGTTCGAGGCCAGCCTGGGCTACAATGTGAATTCAAGGCCAGCCTGGACTGTATAGAGACTGTCTCAAAAAGACCGAAAATGAACAGACAAACATTTTAGACAACAAAATTATGCTACAATAATGCATGAATTGTAAAGACTCTCCAAAGAAGACTAAAATGCTTCACCTTCCAGGTGGAAAGTTAGCACCCAGCCAGCTATAAGTCTGCACCCCTCCAGGAGATCTGTTCACAAGGTAGTCTACATTCTGCTCTCGAGAAAGTGGCCTTATTTAGACTACATTGTGAATGACACACCCAGGATTTATGGGATTCTATGGTCACCACTAAGTAAAATGACTAGAGAGAGATCCAGAGCTTACGCATTTCTGACCTGTCTCAAACGTAACTTCCAGGCGTTGAGGGCACAGCCAATTACACTTTCTAACAACATTATGTCCCCTAGTTTTGCATATACTGTTCCCTCTGCTGAGAATAACATTTTCCCGTCTCTCAACTTGTAAATTTCTGAGATCCTGTGAGGCTTCCTGTTGGTAGAGCTGCTCTAAGTTGCTGCCACACATCTGGGGTCCCAGAGCACTCTAAGCAAATCTCTTTCACAGCCCTTTCACAGTGCATTGCCATTATCAATTCACAGCTGGGCGTGGTGACGCACACCTGTGATCCTAACACCCTGAGAGGCTGAGGCTCGAAGATCAAAGATGCGAAGATCGCAGATCTGAGCCCAAACTGGGCAACTTAGCCAGACTCTATCTCAAAATAAAAAGGGCTGGGCATATAGATCAGTACAAAAGCCCTGGGGTTCAGTCCACAACAAAAACACTCACTCATTATCAATTCACATATCTTTATCTCAAACAAAAATCTAAGCGTCACTAAGGCAGGAATTACGATCTTTCCATTCCAATATCTCTTTCTATTCCAGTATGTCGGTACAGTGTAGCTGTTAAATTACAGCAGCAATTTATCAACAGGTCCACTGTAGTAAAAACTTAAAGGTTGTAAAATCAAGGCAAAATATCTACACTTTCATTAAAAATCTAAAAAAATAAAGAGTTAGGAACAGTTGTTAAGAGAGAATATTCCTGCATGCCTGTAACCCCAGCACTTGGGAGAGAATGAGAATGAAGCAGGAGGATCCCTCTGAGTTCAAGGCCAGCCTGGGCTGCACAGTGAGACCCTAGCTCAAAAAAAAAAAAAAAAAAAAAAAAGAGAAAAGGAATATTCCTACCGATGTTTTGCTCTCATTTTGTAACATGCTCATATAGCAGTAACCAAATCAACACTATTCAAGTGCTCAAAGAATGTCATCATTTTTCTCAGGCTGGACATAGTGGCACAGACCTGTAATCCCAGCACTCAGGAGGCTGAGGCAGGAGGACTGCCATGAGTTGAAGGCTACCCTGGGCCATATAATGAGTTTAAGACCAGCCTGAATTACAGAGCAAGACCCCGTCTCAAAAAGAAAAAAAAAAAAAAAAAAAAGAAATTCTTTTTCCCATATCCTATTATCATCTATTGATCAGCCTTCTTTTTTTTTTCCCCCATATCCTATTATCATCTATTGATCAGATTTCTTTTTTTTTCTTTGTCTTTTTGAGACAGGGTCTTGCTATGCTGTTCAGGCCGGCCTTGAGCTCACTTTGTAGCCCAGGCTGGTCTCGAACTCGAAACGATCCTCCTGCCTCAGCCTCCCGAGTGCTGGGATTACAGGAGTGCGCCATCACACCCGGCTGATCAGCTTTCTATATTAACTATAATCCTTTCATCCGTCGGGAATCCCTGAGCAAAACCACAAAGAATCAAAGCGACCCTCTCAATCTAAGATATATGCTAACTGCACCGATGGCTAACTGCACTAGAGAACCTTCAAACTGTCTTCCAACTCCAACACTCATCTTGGTTCTGTTTTGTTTGTTTTTTGAGGCAGAGTCTCACTATGTAGTTCAAGTTAGCCTTGAACTCATGGCAGTTCTCCTGCCTCAGCCCCCCAAGGGCAGGGATTATAGGTGTGTGCCACCACACCTGGCTCATCAAGATTCTTTTCTTTACTACCAAAGCAAAATTCTAGGTATTTACATACTAGTATTTGGGAACAAACAGTTCTATCTATCAAATGTGCATCTAAGTACATTCCAGAATAAAACAGGCTTTTACAAGCATTGCACCTCATGCATTGACAAGTTCAGGAGACTATTTTAAGCCCCTCCACTCTTCTAGCAGAGTGGTTTTACTGATCCTGATACCATGGTCTTAAAAATTTTTAAAAATCAAATCGCTCAAGATATACCCGCGCCCCACAGCCACAGGTCCTCTAAACCTGCAAACCAGACACTACACTAAGCGAAGCATTTGTAAAAATTAGTTGCTTTTTCATTTGCCCCACATTTTACCAGGGTCTGTGAACTATTCCAACCCGAGGGCTGGCTTCCACATCACTCGCACAACAAAAAGATGACGAGTTAGTCCGCTGGGAGGCTCACTCAGGGAGAAGGTCTTACCTTGGGAACTCTGGCTGAGCCGGGCTGAGGAGCGGGTGACGCGGGCAGACCGGCGGGATGTGCCGTCACTCTCAGAACTGTCTGTGTGCTCGAGATCTGTAGAAAAATCGGAATCTTCCGTTCCATCTGAACTACTGCCTGCATTCCTCTGCAATACCATAGATCCAGACATTAGCACAGAAGCATTGGCTATGGGTTTTCATTAGCATTGGAAATAAAATGCACCACAATGCTGGAAACACCAAGTTCAAACCTAAGAAAGAACTCCACAAGCATTTCCCTTCCCGCTCCTGAGCCAGCTCCTCTCTATCTGGGACATTTAAATAGAATAGCCTACACACAGGCACCTTTGCTAAATAAATGAAAGAAAGAGAATGAAGTCTTACTGTATTATCACTAATTATGAACCAAGTCCATTTGGTGATCAGTTACACAAACGAAATGAAAGTACCCAACTCAAAATGTGCGGCTGACACAAACACGCAGAGAGAAAGTCCAAGGTAGTGTGAAAAATGTTGGTACTAGACCTCATTTAACATGTTAGGGAACCAAAAAAAAAAAAGGCCGGGCGTGGGGGCACACCTCTGTAACCCCAGCACTCGGGAGGCTGAGGCAGGAGGATCGTTGTAACTTTGAGACCAGCCTGGGCTACAAAGTGAGCTCAAGGCCAGCCTGAACTGCATAGCAAGACCCTGTCTCAAAAAGACAAAAAAATAAAATAAAAAATAAAAAAATAAAATGTTAGGGAAAATTTTTTTCCAAATCTCCATCAACAGGGATCACATTAAAAAAAAAAAAAAACATTAGGCTGGGGGTG